AGAAAAAAAAATGTGTTTCTTTTTTTTATCATTATTAAACGTCCTTGCACTAGTGAGGGTCATGTGATGAAGGAAGCATACGGACACACTATTAGAAAGAGAGAGTAAGTTAGAAACAGCAGGTAAAATTGATAGACAGGAAAATAGGACTTAATGAAAGAAATATTTTATTCGAATATATTCATTTATTTCCATAAAATGACGGCTCCTGCATCTTTTGCATATCTTCATTGTGTGAGTCAGGGTTAGGGTTAGGGTTAGGGTTAGGGTGACATAGAAGTTGCATTTATAAAATATCCTCCTTTGTTTATAAAGGAAAATTACTGAGTGACTAGATATACCAGACTGTATACAGTGTACATCTGCTAGCGGTAGATCGTCAGTGACACGTGTTTGGTATTCCGAATGTTTGTTTTATCACCTCGAGTGATTAATGTAGACAGGTTTATTGCAGCTTTACATGATATATTCCTTCATTATTAACACATGCTTAATAGTTAACATTTGTACGTTGCAATGTTTTTTAATTCTTGAATGCAAATATGCGTGTTACTGGTTTACATCTAAATTTAAATGGTCTATTGTACTTTTTGCCTTTTTAAAAACTAAAATATGTAAATAGGAGGCACGGTAATCTAGTAGTAGGACGCCGGGCTCGTGACCGCATGGTTGCGGGTTCGAGTCACAGCACGGCACTGTGTTGTATCTTTGAGCAAGATACTTAACTCCGCTTGTTTGGGCAGTGCTAGAATTTTTGGATGGTAGCTGTGAGCGCCGAAATGGCAGCGCTGGCTGTATGCTCCCCAGGGAGTTGAGAAAGCTCTGGCTGGTTGCAAAGGCCCTTAAACCATGGAAAATAATTTGTGAACCACTATGAGACGACCTACGAACTAGGTTGTGATAAAGCGATATATCAGAACGTCGAATTATTATAATTTTTATTATTATTAGAACATTTTCTTTCTATGCTACCAATGTCGATTATTTGGTTATTCTCGAAAAGGTATTTGCTGTTTCATTTTAACTACCATAATTCTGTCTTTGAGTACGTAACCTATTTGTTGTTTTCACCCAGATTTACATGTCTGGTCTCATTAATGGAACAAAAGACGTCAACGTTACGGAGCAGTGTATTTTTTATTCTTTTTACATTTAAACATGTTAGTTATTCATACGTTAACAATAAGCCTTAGTTAATCGATTAAAAGATGAAGTGACGGTTTGTTCACAGTTTTTGGTCAATACATTAAAAGAGTATTATTAACTTAAACCATTTTGCATTACCTATATTCATTTCACCAAGTTATGATATTTGCCGCTATGCGTCACTAGCCGTATATATCCCAAATCATCACAAGGGGATTTCCAATTCAGTAGATACTTTTGTATGCTGGCTTTGCATCATAACACGGACACTTTTAACAATTTAACTGGATTTGGCGGCGCCAAATTACTTAACATAATATATATAGTCAGCGCCATATAATATTAATTACATAATAATTATTTTTTACATCTGTTTCAATAATTCATAATTTTCTGAATTGGTTCAGCTCTTAAACCGAACCAATAGGAATTACTGCCAGGATGTGTTAAATATAGAAACATCTTGGTTTAATTTTAGTGTCTGAAGTATTATAATTATCGCATAATACATCGTCGTCGTCTTTTCCGTAGTTCGGTTAAAGAGACGCCATCGTCGATTCAGTTTTGCCACTAAATCTTAGGTGTTAGCCTCATATCTGTTTTGGGATACTATGGTTGTACCAGAATAGGAGAGGGAAGGGAAAACTCTATCGGAACTGAATAGTTTTGAATTTCAAAAAGATTGATTGTGTGTCTCATCTTCAAATAAGCAATAATGCGCTGTATATATATATATATTTTTCATATTTTTTTATGTTAATAACTCGAAATTTCGATTTACCTAAACTTACGATAATAACAACTAGCGCGAAATTTCGACTTACTAACTAAAAATTTCGAAAAGATAAGTCGAAATTTCGACTCACGAAATTTCAAATAGTTTTTGTCTACATGACCCTTATGCTCTTCCATACTTTTCGCTTTTACCCAATTGGTTGGTTGTGTTTTGTCATCAAGGATGATGTTACTTTACGAAACTAACAACAAGTGGAACATTGATGCTTGTTGTCCGAACATTCTTGACATTAGAGTATAGTAAAATGCATTATTTCAACTACAAAAGCAACTCGTTACCTTAAAGAATCATGTTTTTATTTGGAAGCTAAATACAACATGATAACTATCATTGAATCCTGATTAAAGTCACTCAGTAGTTCTCTATTGATATCGTATAAAGGGGAATATCATATATCCTGATTAATGTAGTACGCTGTAATACGTTGATCAAAAAGCAAAGTTCATAAGTGTATGGCATTGATAACATTATTTTTATAACACAATATCAGTATTGATATTCGGTGGCTGGTCGGAGTGTCAGTGGATATGTCACTCGCCTTTAAATGAGACGGCCGAGTTCGAAAACCCTGATCGGACGTTAAAGATATAGGACCACCTGACGAGCTTTGGATTTTTGTACCATTCAATGAAAACTTTAAATATGCAGAAAGAAGCCCCTTTTCGGTAAATAATTGCTTGTCAAACAAAACGAAACAAAAATAAAATAATAATAATTAAAAAAACAAACATTTAATCCATTAATGATTCCTTCCTAGTACTAAATACCGGATAATTTGAATCCTTCTGTCTGAATTGATCCGGGAACACATGTGAAATAACACAACAATAGGTCGCTGTTCATTCTAAGATATTACTACATACAAGCATTATCACAAATAACACTCACCAATGGCGATAAAATATAAATAAAAATCCGGCTCTGAATTGATCCGAGAAAAATTGCCCATAAGCACATCCTAAAATTATTACAGTATATTGTACGGCGCTTGTCTAGGACTATTAGGCTGAGCTGAATTTCCTAATGACGTCGACGATGACGTATGCGATGAAGCTTGTGACTGTTTAGGGTACGTCTGCTTTCCAAGATGATGTTCCTTTACCGATACCTTAAATAAAATATCCTGAGGTGACGGCGGGACCTCTAATGTTACTTCAGCTGTCTGCTTGCCAGATATCCGTGAGACCTGTGTTTTATTTGGGCGCCTGTTGGTATTATGGTTATAGTTTCTACTTGTCGGATAATTATAACTCTGAGTGTGTTTGTTTGTGTAAGTATTTCCAGATAAGCTAGGTACGCTGCTGATTGGTATGCCATTATGATTTGCGTTCTGCTGTCCCGGCTGAGCATTTACTGTAAATTGAAAGTTAACAAATTTATCTGAGGGTTTAATATCAACAGATACATGTGTTGACTTTGGTATCAGTTTGTTCGGACCGACTGAATGTTTATGAGCCTCTGTTTGGTATTTTGGATGTTTTTGTTGCTGGTGACTGTTGGTCTTTCCTGAGTTAGTTAGAGAAGGTTGGATATACTGTTGTCTATTTGTGAATGTCGACGGTGTATGCTGCATTTGGTTTGAAACAGACGCTGACTTCATGGTTTGTTGTTGATTGGTATTTACTGATGGGGAATTCGGTTGATTTGTAATGGAAAGAGGTGTTTGGTTTCGGTGATTACTTTTAACGAATGGAGGCGCCTGTTGTTGTGCATTATTTGTATTGATCGTCTTCCTGTTATTTATAAAGGCCGAAACCGCGTGCTGATGCTGTTTGTTTGAAGCGGAAGGAGGTGACTGGTATTGTTGTTTGTTAGAAGATGTATGTGGCTGTTGGTTTGTAGAAGAAGGAGGTGATTGGTATTGTTGTTTGATGGTAGATGTATGTGGCTGTTGGTTTTGAATTATGGCGGCTGTCTGTGCTTGTTGACCCTGGACGGGTAGTTTCGACAGTTGTTGCCCGCTAGTGTGCAAAGACTGTGGTTGTTGACCCTTGGCGGGTAGTTTCGACAGTTGTTGCCCGCTAGTGTGCAAAGATTGTGGTTGTTGATGTGGATTAGTTATAGTTGGCTCTCTTTTCTGTGCTGGCTGCTGCTGTAAATGTTGATCTATTACAGAAGGTTGTATCTGATGAGGGTGACTTGTCTGTGGATATTGCTTCTGATGCTGTTTTACTAGTTGCGAAGATTGCATCCGAAGTTGTGGAGATGGCATTTGATACTGTTGTGATGTTTGCGGAGGCTGTATTTGGTGTTGTGCTGTTTGCGGTGACTGTATTTGTTGTGGTGTTTGAGGAGGCTGTATTTGTTGTGGTGTTTGAGCAGGCTGTATATGTTGTTGTGTTCTTTGCTGAGGCTGTATTTGTTGTTGTGCTGTTTGAGAAGAATGTATCTGATATTGTTGACTTAAAATTTGACGCTGTTTTTGTTGTTGTGCTGTTTGCGGGGAATGTATCTGGTATTGTTGACTTACACTTTGAGGCTTTATTTGCTGTTGTGCTGTTTCGGCAGGCTGTATTTGTTGTGGTGTTTGAGGAGGCTGTATTTGTTGTGCTGTTTGAGGAGGCTGTATTGGGTGTTGTGCTGTTTGCGGAGGCTGTATTTGTTGTTGTGCTGTTTGAGGAGACTGTATTTGTTGTGGTGTTTGAGGAGGCTGTATAGGTTGTTGTGCTCTTTGCTGAGGCTGTATTTGTTGCTGTGCTGTCTCCGGGGACTGCATCTGGTATTGTTGACTTATAATTTGAGGCATTATTCGATGTTGTGGTGTTAGAGGAGGCTGTATTTGTTGTTGTGCTGCTTGATGAGGCTGTATATGTTGTTGTGCTGTTTGATGAGGCTGTATTTGCTGTTGTGCTGATTGAGGAGGCTGTTTTTGTTGTGCTGTTTGCTGAGGCTGTATTTGTTGTTGTGCTGATTGAGAAGGCCGCATATGATATTTTAGACTTTTAATTTGTGGCTGTATTTGTTGTTGTGCTGTTTGAGGAGGCTGTTGATGTTGTTGTGCTGTTTGAGGAGTCTGTATTTGTTGTTGTGCTGTTTGAGGAGGCTGTATACGTTGTTGTGCTGTTTGCTGTGGCTGTATTTGTTGTAGTGGTTGTTGAGGAGGCTGTTTATGTTGTTGTGCTGTTTGAGGAGGCTGTATATGTTGTTGTGGTGTTTGAGAAAGATGTATTTGTTGTGCTGTTTGCTGAGGCTGTATTTGTTGTTGTGCTGTTTGCGGAGGCTGTATTTGTTGTTGTCCTGTTTGCGGAAGCTGTATTTGGTGTTGTGCTGTTTGCGGTGACTGTATATGTTGTGGTGGTGTTTGAGGAGGCTGTATTTGTTGTTGTGCTGTTTGAGGAGGCTTTATTTGTTGTTGTGCTGTTTGTGGAAGCTTTATTTGTTGTTGTGCTGTTTGAGGAGGAGGCTGTTTATGTTGTTGTGGTGTTTGAGGAGGAATTATTTGTTGTTGTGCTTTTTGAGGAGGCTGTATTTGTTGCTGTGCTGTTTGAGAAGGCCGCATCTGATATTGTAGACTTTTAATTTGTGGCTGTATTTTTTGTTTATTGGCTCTTTGTTGAGGTTGTATCTGGTATCGTTGGTTTGTAAGATGCTGAATATGTTGTAATGTTTGCGAAGGCTGCTTTTGATATTGTTGACGCGGTTGGGGAGGCTGTATTTGATGATGTGCTATTTGTGCTGCCTGCATCTGATATTTTTGATTTGACTGCAGTGGGTGCATCTTTTGTTGAGATGTTTGCTGAGATTGTATCTGATATTGTTGATTAGACTGCGGAGGCTGAATCTGTTGTTTAACCGTTTGCGGAGGCTGTATTTGGAATTGTTGACTTACCGGGGGAGGCTGTATTTGATAGTGTTGTGCTGTTTGTGGAGGTTGTATTTGATGTTGCTGTGCTGTTTCGGGAGGCTGTATTTGTTGTTGTGCTGTTTGTGGAGGTTGTATTTGATGTTGTTGTGCTGTTTGTGGAGGTTGTATTTGATGTTGTTGTGCTGTTTGTGCAGGTTGTATTTGATGTTGCTGTGCTGTTTGAGGAGGCTGTATATGTTGTTGTGCTGTTTGTGGAGGTTGTATTTGATGTTGTTGTGCTGTTTGTGGAGGTTGTATTTGATGTTGCTGTGCTGTTTGAGGAGGCTGTATATGTTGTTGTGGTGTTTGAGGAGGATGTATTTGTTGTGCTGTTTGCTGTGGTTGTATTTGTTGTTGTGCCGTTTGAGAAGGCTGTATTTGTTGTGCTGATTGCTGAGGCTGTATTTGATGATGTACTGTATGTGCTGGCTGCATCTGGTATTTTTGATTTGACTGCAGTGGCTGAATCTGTTGTTGAGATTTTCGATGAGGTTGTATCTGATATTGTTGATTAGACTGCGGAGGCTGTATCTGGAACTGTTGACTTGGCTGAGGAGGATAAATCTGTTGATGCGATGTTTTCTGATGTTGTATATGGTATTGTTGATTTGACTGCAGTGACTGAATCTGTTGTTGAGATGTTTGCTGAGGTTGTATCTGATATTGTTGATTAGACTGCGGAGGCTGGATCTGTTGTTTTACCGTTTGCGGAGGCTGTATTTGGAATTGTTGACTTACCGGGGGAGGCTGTATTTGATAGTGTTGTGTTGTTTGTGGAGGTTGTATTTGATGTTGCTGTGCTGTTTGTAGAGGTTGTATTTGATGTTGCTGTGCTGTTTGTGGAGGTTGTATTTGATGTTGCGGTTGTATTTGATGTTGCTGTGCTGCTTGTGGAGGTTGTTTTTGATGTTGCTGTGCTGTTTGTGGAGGTTGTATTTGATGTTGCTGTGCTGTTTGTGAAATTAGTATTTGATGTTGCTGTGTTGCTTGTGGAGGTTGTTGTTGATGTTGCTGTGCTGTTTGTGGAGGTTGTATTTGGTGTTGCTGTGCTGTTTGTGAAATTAGTATTTGATGTTGCTGTGCTGTTTGTGGAGGTTGTTGTTGATGCTGCTGTGCTGTTTGTGGAGGTTGGATTTGATGTTGTGCTGTTTGGGGAGGCTGTATTTGTTGTTGTGCTGTTTGTGGAGGTTGTATTTGATGTTGCTGTGCTGTTTGAGGAGGCTGTATATGTTGTTGTGGTGTTTGAGGAGGATGTATTTGTTGTGCTGTTTGCTGTGGTTGTATTTGTTGTTGTGCCGTTTGAGAAGGCTGTATTTGTTGTGCTGATTGCTGAGGCTGTATTTGATGATGTACTGTATGTGCTGGCTGCATCTGGTATTTTTGATTTGACTGCAGTGGCTGAATCTGTTGTTGAGATTTTCGATGAGGTTGTATCTGATATTGTTGATTAGACTGCGGAGGCTGTATCTGGAACTGTTGACTTGGCTGAGGAGGATAAATCTGTTGATGCGATGTTTTCTGATGTTGTATATGGTATTGTTGATTTGACTGCAGTGACTGAATCTGTTGTTGAGATGTTTGCTGAGGTTGTATCTGATATTGTTGATTAGACTGCGGAGGCTGGATCTGTTGTTTTACCGTTTGCGGAGGCTGTATTTGGAATTGTTGACTTACCGGGGGAGGCTGTATTTGATAGTGTTGTGTTGTTTGTGGAGGTTGTATTTGATGTTGCTGTGCTGTTTGTAGAGGTTGTATTTGATGTTGCTGTGCTGTTTGTGGAGGTTGTATTTGGTAATGCTGACGTGTCCGTGATTGCTTAATATGATTGTTTCTGGTTGCTTGCTGATGCGGTATCTGATTTTGTTTATTTGTCTGCGGAGAATGCCTATGACGTTGTTGAGCTGTCTGTTGAAGCTCGATATGATGTTGCTGTGCTATTTGCGGATGCTGAACATGTTTTTGTTGACGTGTCGGGGGTTGCTGAAAGTAACTGTTTTGAATTGTTTGGGAATGCAGTATCTGATTCTGTTGACCCGTCTGCAGGGATTGCATCTGGAGTTGTTGACTTGTCTGCGGTGACTGTGTGTGGTGATGTTGGTGTATCTGCTGAGATTGTAACTGATGTTGGTGAGCTGTTTGGGAAGACTGTCTCCTATGTTGATAAGCCTGTGGCGACTTTTTCTGTTGAACTGTCGTCGACGGTTGTATGTTTTGTTGGTTTTGACGGCCCTGCAGCTGTAGTTGAGGCATAGAAGAATGCTCTGGTATCCCCCATGTGTTATGATGTATAGACGTGCCACTTTGTTGTGCTTGTTGGTTTTTTTGTTGGTTACTTGGTAATAACAATATTTCTTGAGGTTGTTGGTTGTTACTTAACAACAGTTTATGTTGCGAGGAAGCTTGATTTTGCGTCGGAGAATGAGTTTGGTATAACTGATACAGGCGGGTATCTATTTTTCTTGCTGGTATAATTGACTTCGAACTAGGTCCTTTGCTGTTTGTCCGTTGGCTGTTGCGATTTATCGATTCTGCGTTTAATGTCTGTGCGTTCGGTGGTACAGCTGGGTGTACTGTGTTACTATGTTGTCGACTATACGACTGGTCGTTAGCATTAGATAAATATTTAAGTCCTGGTATCTTAGGTTGATACGTTTTGGTTAGTTGCTGCACACGTGAAGTTGGTACCGATGTCATAATGCTGGTTTGACCACGTTGACCTTCAACATTTGAAATTAACTTTATCGCAGGAATTGGACGAGTTAACTCTTGCCTCTGTCTACGTGATGGATGCATATTTACCGATAGCATAGGCAATGCTGATTGATGTGTATTAGCTGAGCTAATAACCTGTTCCAGAGGTTGTGGTGTATTTTTAATGACCTGCAATGTTTTATGGAATGCCATAGCAGGTCGCGATGTACCGGACGATCCAATTGTTCCATGATCTAATGTTTTACTTCTATAAACTGCGTTTGTATTAAGCACCCCTTTTTCATTAACATTCGAGCTAGTTTTTGTCGATGAATCAAGTCTTTCCAAGATCTGTACTCTGCCATTACGGTGGGTCTCTCGTGTTCGAGAAGTTGGTGTAGCTTGATCATAACTGCCTCGCATAGTCGTTGGCTGTTTGGATTCTGTGGGATGTATATCAACCTGTTTAATGCGAGTCAGATGCTGCACATTTGGGGCTCTGTGGTTTATTGGTGGCGTATTTCCGAAATGTCCGACCGGATGTAGTGATTCATAATGCTGATTAGTGGCAACGTTGTCGACTTGATGCTTTTGGTTTCTACTTAGCTTAAAGGAGGGTTCATTGAAGCTTCTACTTTTCGAATGGAGGACGTTCTTTGCGTTTCCCGGAGAGTGGGCAGATTGCTGATCAACGTATTGCTGTCGTGTTTGAGAGTTCTGTATTTGCGCTTTCGTTTGCGATTGAGAATGGTAATTAGGAATTCTTTGTAATGTATACGTATCTGCGATTCGCGTAATCGTAGGTTCATACTGGTTTACACTGTTCAAATATCGTTCTGACCGACGCTGACTTGGTTGTTGGAATGTTGTACTACGACCTGGCCCCGAGGACCGTTGCCTATTCTGAGGGTGACTTTCCTGAGCAACAATTGTGTTTATTTGCGGATCAGTTGGACGTGTTTTCCGTTCATCTGGTTGTATTAATCGTTTTCTCCCTGTTTTACTGAACGTAGACCATTTGCCCTCTGACGGGAGATGATTTGAACCTCGATCTAAATATCGCTTTTGTTCAATGAATTTATTATCGTTCATGCCAGCTGTTGGATTATTTCCGTCACTTCTTGTTCGAAGTAAATTACGCTGCAACGGAATAGAATGTATATGTTGTAATTCGTGAAGTCGCTCTTCTGGAAAAGATGAATGACGAATTACTCTGGTCGGTATACGGGAACGAACGTCGCCTTGCTTCCCGTTGTACTTGACTGTTTTTACAGTACGCTGGGATTGCTTCATGTACTGGGATGGTTGATCCTTTATGAACATGTCAGGGGATTCGTGGAACACTTCCGGTAATGTATTACTGGAGTACACTGATGACTGATCAAGCTGCTGATTACCATCAGAGGGTCTAACGCTCAATAACCTTGTCGGCGATATCAATTGATCGCGTTGAGGTGAGGAATTACGACTTTGATGGTGTCTTTCATTTGGGGAAATCCAGGTGTTTGTTTGTATTGAAGAATGAACATACTCTCTATGTGGTGTTTTTTCCATAGTATTGGTTTCTCGAACTTTCTTTATTCTTGCCGCATCCCTGTTCATAAATGATTCGGACTGCATGTCTGGCAAACCCTGATTATGCAGGGACAGTCTTCTCGCGGCGTTTCTTTGATTACCCTTCACAAAGGTATTTGATCCTACCATTTCTAATTCTCTGAAATCAGTTCTACGGTCATTCAACGGCAAGTTTGAACTAAGATAGTGCGTTGGTTCGGATTTAAGTAAGCTCATTTCCCTTCCAATGTCGTGCCGATTACTCCTTACCTTATACGATGCAGTATTAAATCCACTTGTATGGTCATGCCGTGACGTTACAACTCTGTCTCTGTTTTCTTTAGTTCGATAGGGCGTTATACCTAATGGTAGGCCGACTGTTGCTTCTTTTTTCGCATTGTTGCGAAATACTTTCGTATGCTGTCCTGTCATAACAGTTGATTGGCCTTGATTTTGATCTTGAGACACTTTAGCTAACTCTGGTACCTTTTTAGCCATATTTCGAATAGACTTGACATTCTTTGATTTGGATGAGTCTTGTTTTATTTCTTCCGCAAGTTTATTGTTTCTGACGACATCTGCTGCTAGTAGCTGTAACAGATCTAACTTATTACTTTCGCTTGGAGGGTTGTTGGAAACAGCTGACTGTAGAGAGGTTGCTGCTCTTGTCAAGTAATCCATTTCCTCGTTCGATAATTGTGATATCAAACGTTCAAATTTAGCGTTGTTGTTTGAATTCACATTGGGCGTTTTACCTTTGTTCGAACTAGTCATTTTTGTAGTCTTTCCAACATTATTTTGTTGATTTATGTTTTTCTCGATTTCCCGTATAAGTTTATTGATGTCTGTTTGAGATGGTTTTCCGTTGGACTGGACTGGCAGTATGTGTGTCCTTTCCTCGGTGGTGACTGTAACAGACTTTACACGGATGCCTTTGGGGTTTCCTTTTGTCTTATGCATCAATGGTTTCACCTTTTTGCGGAGATCCTCGGCCTTTCTTCCTCCTTTTAATGCGACCGTTGGGCCCTGGATTTGAAACGTAAAAAATAGTCACAACGTATTCTGGTATCAGTATAATAACACCATAATGGTGGGTTAAACCTTAATTATTAGAATAACTAATAATCAAATGTACAAATATAGTAACAGGCACAGTTTCATATTTCGATGTCTACATCTGATTTTTAACTCTTTCTCCGTTGTTTCTAAAACAGATAAAGGACCAAACGGTGCTGAAAAATATTAGCTAGTTTGTTGTCCTTTCTCTAAGTAGAATCACGATAGTAAAATAGCTGCACGCTTTTGTTTTTTTTATTTCCTGTAACTTATAATTTGTAGTGAAATATGGAATTTACCAAAAATAAGGGTTTTACAAATAGCAAAGAATCCCCGGCATTTTACAATAATCGTGTTTAGTACATTCATTACAATATACAAAATAAGTGCGATCCTTCATTTGCAAGGTGAACGATAAACCACATGAGATTGCTCTCTTAAAATTTTGCAATCGATAGAATATGCCAAAATGGATTTTAACTGCACAATATGTCTGTTTTCTTCTAGACTCATTGCTAATGCTCAAGGCCAAACAGCGGGGCTGCAAATTGGTCTAAACTGATATTGAAACAGAATGTAAGGTGCCAACAATCCATTAGTTTGATGAATTTCAAAAACTAGAAGTGCACTGGTTATTTTCATATTGATAATGAGTGAAGTGTATATATTATGTCCCCTGCCACTACTGAATATACACTTCTCTCTGTCATTTGTGTAAAGCCTTATAAACAATGTATATCATCTGTTAATTGTTTTTTCCCTCCCAACAAATTAAAGCAATAATATTACCAACCCCGACGGACTCTCTTTATGTGTATAGAATTATAAAATTTAAGCCACACTATACCTTGAAAAAAAACCTGATTGATCGTTCATACATCATGTCAACATAGCGTTTTAGCCGTGTCACCATATGAAAAACCTTAAAAATAAATTTAAAGCACACGTTTCCTATTTTAGGACAAAGTAATCATAGGCAATTCATTCAACATGTTTCTTTTCTAATTGATTAGTTAGTCTAATTTAAATGTGGAAAGGGCCCTGAAGGCAATACGTTAAAATGTCCACGAGAGTATAATAAGAATTTTAAGTATGCTTTTCCTGTAATTTTACCGATTTCCCTATTGAACGTGACAATATATGGGGTCTATGCCCGATTAAGTGGTAGACCAGTTTCCTTTCTCATAAAGACCCCCACTCATTAACAACCGGACAAATAGGAGTGATAAATACAAGTTTTAACAACCTCGTTCATAATTTTTGCGAAATCAATTAATATTTGTATTCATATTTAACTCCACAGATGAAAACCCCCGAAAACGTTTACAGTCAGATTAAAAAACGAACAATATCTGTTAATGTATTTATACTGATAAGCAGCATAGACCGGTCTAATTATTCGTAGAGTACAAGATCACTATAGCTATTAATTACAATTTTATTAATGGGCAAATGTTAGCTAGATCAGTCAATAAGAGAGCATGAGCAAGTGACGTTAGTGGTAAATTAGTTATTTGTTTACCACTGTAGTGTCCGTTTGTTTTACGATAATTTATACTGTATACATAGGATTATATAGCAATACACTGTAAAACCTTGATTTCCCATTTGTCATCGTCTTAAAACCAAAAATAGTTTTATAAAAACTTAGATTTGTTCTGTCACCTGAATATGTGCTGCATGACAGTCTTGGTGTTTTGCGCACCACAATTATGCAAACTATAAAACGCTATATCATCATTTACAATTTGGTACACTGCATTGTTCAAAATTAAACTATAATGTCCTTGTTTTAATTTGCAATCTCGCGTTTAACTAACATATTAATGCGTAACCTTTCATAGTGTCTAAGCAATTCCTTAAGATTTTCCTACGATATACAAATAGATTGTCAAAACCTTTTTTAATGAAACAGTTTTCTTGATAATCTAACAAAGTATTATTATCATGTCTTTATCAAATTAATAATATCCTTTGAATTTACTTGGAATATTGCAGATATATCTGTGCAAAGGCGCATGTGCAAAATAAGCTTTCAGAATGATGTTATCAGTGGTTTTCAAACATCGAGAAAATGAAACTTAACTTAAATTGTAATGTTAATGTTTCAAACTTTGCGGGAGTATCCAGAAATATTCGAAACATCCGGACTTCTACTCACAAATATTAAACATCGAGATCCTGTAAATACGACAGAATGTGATGCTTAAAATATGTGACGAAACACAAGCTAAGACATTAATTTTCAAATATAGATATTGGATTTCTTATCAAATTCAATATTTCTTTGTTAATTAATTGCCCGATGCTTGTGCTATAAACATAACCACGGGACATTGTAATGTTCTAGTACAGATTATTATTTCACTTCGATTTATAACCTGTTATTGTCAATGTTTTCACGGATGGGCTTTGTTTATACTTCGAAACAGCGAGAAATTCGAATTATTAAAGTTCGATTCATGAGAAGAATTTTAGAAGTGTTACAAAATGGGGAAAATTATAGACTTTACCGTAAGTCCGATTTATGGAAGTTTGGCTGTGCTATTTTATAGTAATATATTATTTCTAAAAACCAAAAGGAGTGACGTTATGTTTGCCATTTTTGACATAGTGAACTGTGGCATTTGGTAGTCATGTCTATTTTAAACTTTTCGGAGATGTTTTGCTTTAGAATGTACGTATTCAGGTAATGTAGAAACATTGAATTGATTTCTGCAAGTCTGTTCTTTGAATGATGGCAGCATTATACAACATTTGAGAGTTATCATAGTTGCCCAGGTAATATTCAAAAGACTATCTTAGAAACAACTACATTTTACAGCAAAAATGCAAATAGATAGAATAAAATAAATAACTAAATGAATAAGTTGAAGAAAAGAAAAAGAGAGACACAAAGCAAACAATCCTTATATTATAAATTTGTTTGAACATTAATTATAAGATTAACGGTAAGCCAGCGATATAAATATAGCCAACTCGTCAACATGTGATCTCGAGTGAGAGAGCATTGAAAATAGAAGGCGAATTGAAGGCGATATGCTAAACGCCACCTTATACGTTATACAAGGAACACAGACAAATTCATACCATGGCATCAGCAAATATAGACAAAAGGGGAAATTAGATCAATGAAAACAAAATAAGATGTCTTAAAAAATATTGTTATGGTCCTATAACACACATTGCTATTGATGACAAACTTAATAAAACCCTATTATTTATATTAATATTTGTATAGAGAAGATACGATTTATTTAGTTATTTTGAACAGTTCGTTGAACAGTAAATTAAGTTTGGACAATAATGAAACCGATGACGTCACAATAGCAAATATTATTATATTATAGTAACAACATTTGTCTTCTTAATACATTATAATGGAAGGATGCAGAGCAAATGTAAATATAAAACAAAAGAAACTTAAGATAGATCAAACAGATGAACAGACATTTTTAACATAACCAAAAAATATCTCCCTGTTGTAGCTGTTTCGTAGCTGTTAGACGGGTTTTCCTAGACATCCCCTAGCCGTGTACAGATGACTTTTTTTCTTAAATAGTGAATAATGATTGAAATGGAAAATGAAACAACACATATGCTCATTAAATGTTGTACTAAAAGGTATATACATGTTAAGCGAAACATAGGGCACATACAGATGGTATGATGATATAGCCCATTTTTACGATATCACCATCACAACCAATTAATAATTTAGAGGATAATTTGATCATTTATTTATCCTAAGGTCCGTAAATCTATTTGTGTTTTAAACACAACCATATTTGCTATTAATAATAATAATAATATACAACATTTACATGTATATAGCGCCCTATATAATTTGTAAAATTTCTCTAAAGCGCTTTACAACATACGGATAAGAATATTAGTTATAATTGTTAAACGAAAAAGGCTCACAATCACCAGTATACATTAAGCAAGAAGATAATCATCTCAATGAGCACATACATGAATACATAAAGTGTTGTATGTACATGACGTCGGTGCAAAGAGCCTAACATGCAGACGCGAAGAAGAGAGTTTGTATGTCACTTTATGCATGTGCTTAATAATCGCCAGACATACGAAGCAAGGATGTACCTATTTACACAAGTAACAAAAACCCACAGTGATCATA